TTGCCATGAAGCTTGCTGGGTGATCTTGGGATGATGTTTACCTCTCCGCCTAACCTACCTCACAGGACTCTTGTGAAGTTAAAATTAGGTTTCGGGGGGGGGGGGCAGGGACGTGGAGGGGGCACCATTAAGTGACAATGGTATGTCTCTCCCAAGGGAAACCTGGAAGTGATGTGAAGCCACTCTAGAAAATGTCAGAACTCTATGGAGACCATCGAGCCGGTGATTCCTAGAGTGGCTTGGCATCACTGCCAGGTCTCCCAGGGTGTGATGTAGCACTGTCACACCAACAGCGATTTTTTAAATAAAAAAATTCACGCACCAGAGTGATGGCAGGTAACAGGAGCTGGGGGTGAGATATCTCCCACCCACGCGGGTGAATAGTAGGCCTACCTTTGATGGTTTGTCCAGGCAAAGACTCGCTGCCCTGGGTATTCCTTACTTTGTAATGTCAATATGATTTTTTTCCTCAGCCTGACCTGTAATACTAATTAGTTCAAACAAATAGACAGCAGTGAGGATTTCTGCTCCGATGTTCAGCTTTTGCTTGTGGCAATCTGATAATTTCTCTTTGTTCCCTTTTGAAACCTCGCCAGATTTTTTTTGTTTTGAATTTGTGCCAAATTAAACGAGGACGGCACATAATTACTCCTTTTGTCCTGTCTTGTTTTGCTCTGTGGGCTGTCAGGGATGGAGCTGTATGTTATCTCCCCTCAAAGATGGAAAGGCTTATTCCACACACATACACACACACACACTCCCCGGATCGTTGTGACGGCACCAACGGAGAGTAATAATTCAGTATAGAAAAACTAATGATGCTTCAATTCATTTCCAGTTTGTCGCTGCTAATAATCTCTTGGAACGAGGAGTTGATGAGGTGCTTATATTTCCCGTCTCTCCAACGCTTAGCCGAGTAGATGTTTGTCATTAAGCCTACTTAGTTGAATGGGAGACTAGCTTAAAGAGAGAGAGACAGAGAGAGCGAGAGAGTGCGTGTGTTGCAAGATTGCCTGCTCCATTTGGAATATAGGAGGGTATTTTTACTCCGTCTTCTTCCCCCCCCCCCATTATCTAATACTCAGCATTGGCTTCTCATGATTGCAACAGCGCTTCAGTCTCCGCACTGCCGTCTTGCCAACTACAAACAATACCCACCAAGGGAAGACTATCTACAATTCACAACTATGTTCAAAACTGTATATTATATGCATTGAAATAAAAAGAAGGGTTAGTAGTCACAACCCCATAGAGTATATAGAGATAGATCCAACAGATTGCTCAAAACATTTTAAACAAAGAACATATGCAAAACCAACAGTAGGCTCTTCTGTAACTCCATACGTAAATAGTGTCCATAGACCTCCAAACCTCCAAACAGAAAGTAACTGCAACAGAATTTACTTCAAGGTGCTGGTACTTACCTATACAGCCCTATATGGCCAGGGTCCGGCATACCTGAGGGACAGCCTTTCCCCATATATGCCCCAGAGGGCACTACGGTCGGGGTCTCAGAATCGTTTGACCCTCCCTGATCCTAAGGAGGCCAGGCTCTAGGGCCAGGGCCTTTTCAGTGGCGGCTCCATACTGATGGAATGAGCTCCCGGAGGAGATCAGGGCCCTGCGGGACCTTTCACAGTTCCGCAGGGCCTGCAAGACAGAACTCTTCCACCAGGCCTTCAACTATCACCACCAACTCTCGGCTTGATGGCCGGCTTTGTGCAAAGAACATCGAGAAACTGGAAAATGTACAAGTACGCCGCCTTGTATAATTAGTGAAACATCGACAGCACTTACTATTACTATTACTGATATTGAATTGTTTTACGAGGATTTTAGTGGATTGTAATTGCTATTTATATATTTGTAAAATGTTTTAATGAATGTAAGCCGTCCTGAGCCTACAAATGCGGGGAGGGCGGGGTATAAGTAGAATAATAAATCAACAAACAGAAGACTCCCACTGTGGAAAGAATAACAGTCAAATGCCTCTCCCAGGTATAAATCAAGCGTTTCAGTGCTCTTCAACAGCGGCTGGTAAGACAGAACCCGATTTCCGAAATAACAGTTAGGAAGTTTCTCCTGATATTTAGCCAGTAACGACTCCCTTGTAATTTCCACCCATTAGATCTAGTCTTGCAATCCGGAGCAAGAGAGAATAGATCTGCTCCATCTTCTACATGACAGCCCTTCATATACTTGAAGACTGCAATCACGTCCCCTCTAAGCCTTCTCTTTCCCAGGCTAAACATACCCAACGCCTTGCCCCAGCTTTTGCTGTGCCGTAACTCTGTGCTGTGTTGTTTCACTCATGCTCTGTGTTGTTAACTTTTACTAGTTCATCTTAGGGTTTAGTATCAAATTTTAGGGCTTGCATTTCTAAAGGGAAGAACTTTTGCCCTTTATATGCGCACGGCAAACCTGGATTATTTCAGCGTTGGGGGAGGGGAATTGGAGAGTATGTGCCCGTTATGTGTGTATTTTTTTTTATTTCATACATAAGCCCACATACATTGAAGGGGCCCCAAAAGAGGTGTGCTTGCAGAGAGCTGGTGTTATTTCCTTGTATCATTGGTTTTTTAATTAATACTTCTGCATCTGCAGGAGCTGCCAACCTGGTTTTAAAAATCGTATTATACATGTGTTTTTATAGGATTACAGGGACCTGCTTCGGAATACATCGTTGACGTAGACTCGATGGACATATTCCCAGTTGGCTGGTGTGAAGCGAATTCTTACAAGCTGTCGGCACCACATAAAGCAGTCTGTAAGTAATGAAAGAGTGGGCTTACATTGTTAGCAGTGACTACAGTATTCCCTCGTTTAATTCTCATATCATAGGAAGCAATGAGAACATCAGAAGAGCCCTGCTGGATCAAACCAATAGTCCGTCTAGTTCAGCATACTGTCTCACACAGTGACCAACCAGTTCCTCTGAAGGGCGTACCTCTGGAGGGTACAGAGGCCAAAACCTTTCCCTGAGGTTGCCTCCTGGCTCTGGGATTCAGAGGATTAGTGCCTCTGAATGTGGAGGTTCCCCTCAGTCACCATAGCTCGTACCCATCTATCTATCTAATCCCCTTTGAAAGCTGTTTCTTCCTGTGGCCATTACTACATCCTCTGTCAGCAAATTCCAACATAAGAGAAGCCAATGTTGGATCAGGCCAATGGCCCATCCAGTCCAACACTCTGTCACACAGTGACCAAAAATACCAGGTGCCCTCAGGAGGTCCAGCAGTGGGGCCAGGACACTAGAAGCCCTCTCACAGTTGCCCCCTCCCCCAAGCACCAAGAATACAGAGCATCCCTTGCCCCAGACCGAGGGTTCCTATCTATACCTTGTGACTAATAGCCACTGATGGACCTCTGCTCCATATCTATATATCTAATTCCCAACATGCCCCCAGCGTGCGGATATCTAAATCCGCACATCAGGGGCACCTGGGGGGCAGGGAGATTTTCCTGCACATTTGAGGCAATCCCCAAATGTGCAGAAAAGTCTAAAAAGTTGAAAAAAAGTACACGGGGGATATTTAAATCCCCCCAAAAGTAAAAGAGCCTTCCCTGCGCATGCGCAGAGAAAGCACCAACAGGAACTGTGGCTGCTGGCGGTGGCGTGGGAAGAGAAGCCTTGGCAGCCGCAGCCATTGCTGGGGGGGCCGTTGCCGTCGCTGCTGACGGCGGTGGTGGGAGAAGAGCTGCACAGGGCTCACCGCCTTTGCTGCTTGCGGCCGCGGTGGCTGGGGGGGGGACCTTGGAGGGCTGATGGCTAGCTGCAGCTGTTGCGGGGGGGATCCTGGCGAGCCCAACGGACCGCCTGCTGGGCTCACCTGCAGCTGCTGCCGCGTCCTCTGTGCAGAGCTCCTGTGGCTTCAGCAGGCGAGCCACCCGGGAGCCGCGGGGAATACCTCCCTCTTCAGCGAGTACTGTGGGTCCCGCCTCTTGTGTTTATCTAATTCCCTCTTGAAGCTGTCCATGCTTGTAGCCGCCACCACTTCCTGTGGCAGTGAATTCCATGTGTTAATCACTCTTTGGGTGAAGAAGTACTTCCTTTTATCCATTCTAAACCGACTGCTCAGCAATTTCATGGAGCTCCCACGAGTTCTTGTATTGTGAGAGAGGGAGAAAAGTACTTTCTTCTCTACCTGTTCTACCCCAGGCATAATCTTATAAACCTCAACCATGTCACCCCTCAGCTGTCATTTCTCCAAGCTAAAGAGCCCCAAGCACTTTAACCTTTCCTCATAGGGAAAGCGTTCCAACCCTTTTATAAACCTGTCGTGTCCCCTCTTCATCGTCTCTCAACCCCCTTATCATCTTGGTCGCCCTCCTCTATCCTTTTTCCAGCTCCGCAGTGTCGTTTTAGAGATATGGTGACCACAAAGGCACACAGTATTTCCAATGGGGCTGCACCATAGATCTACACAGACTGTTTTAGATTGCTAGCTATTGGGGGGGGGGGAGCGTGCAGATCTGTCCTCGCAGAGGAGGGAGAGCTTGTACCTGACCTGAATAAAACTTGGTCTTAAAGGTGCCCCTGGACTGTTTTGGACCGGGGGGGTGAGGTGGGGGCTCTGCAGCTTACCTTGCTGCTTCTTGCTCTGAGGGCTGCTGGGAGCAGGGGGTGGGGCTTGTTGCATGTGCCCGCCCCTTGGGCTCTTTCCTGCCGGAGCGCCGCTCCTGCAGGAAATGACCCCTGCACAGGGGCATTATCGTATCGGCCGTTTTACTCTCAGTATCCCTAACATAGATTTTGCCTTTTTTCACCGCTGCAGCACATGGGGTCGGCACTTTCGTTGAGCTGTCCACTGTGACCCCGAGATCTTTTCCCCTCAGTTTCAGTAAGTTCAGACCCTGTTAGCCTATACTTGAAATTGGGATTTTTTTTTCTCCCATTTTTCTGAGGCTTCTAAAACCCACCCTCGGAATATTGAGATCCAGGACCTAGTTCCTGTCTGGCACATACAACTGGGGGGGCACTATAAAACTTCTCACCTCTGAAGCTTCCAAAGCCCCGTTCCCGTTTCACTTCTCCCTGCCAAAACATTGTGCCCGCAAGTCCTGATCTTCAGATCTCTTCCTTATGTGGAATTTGCCAACATGACTGGTGCCTGACGCTGGTAGCTTGCACTGCTTCCCCAACGTCGGGCAACACGTTGCATTGCCAGAATGTTGGAACTCCCATTTTCCCTCCAATGTCCAAAAAGGTAAAGGTTCCCTTGCTCGAAAGCCAGTCGAATCCGACTCTAGGGTTGCGGTGCTCATCTCCGTTTCAAAGCCGAAGAGCCAGCGCTGTCCGAAGACGTTTCCGTGGTCATGTGGCCGGCATGACTAAACACCAAGGCGCACAGAACGCTGTTACCTTCCCACTGGGGTGGTACCGATTTATCTACTTGCAATTTCTTGCTTTCGAACTGCTAGGTTGGCAGTTGTCTGCATCTGCACAAATATCACTCTTAATGTTTTGTGTCTGCCCCATGTATATATAAGAAATAGGACTTTTCGGCCCAGAGTGTCTGGGTTTGCAGAACCCTAAACTGCAGCTGTGGCTGACCCCATTGTGCAGATTTTTTGATACTGGGATCATCCCTTGGGTGTTAGTATATGAATTGTTTGGATCGCGATTCTTCAGGGATGAGACGAGGGTGGGCAAAGAGAAGCAACTGGCTGATCTATCTCTGTTCCGAGGCTCTTTAATTTTTATGATGATTCAGCCGGCCAAGGTTGTTTTTCGGCTGCCTGGTGAATATAAAACACACACACATCCCCGCAAAAAAAAAAAAAAAAAAGGGGGCAGTATCACCTGTCTATTTGCATCAAGATCTGCAAGTCAGATTTGAAAACACGCTGTTCCTTTTTAAAAGAGCAAAACATGCTTGATTTTAAAATCAGGGAGCCGTGCCTAATTTCGGAGGCTACAACCGGAGCCTTGCTGTGCAGTGTCGGCGCTATTAAGGGAGTGGAAAAAGACGCCGTGGGTAATCAGGCTTGCAAAATTTAATCACCCAACATGTGTGTTTTTTTCCCCTAAAAGCAAAAATGAATTGTATTGTGTGTTACTATTTTTTTTAAAAAAATTAACTATCAGTCCCATAAAAGCAAGCTGAATAAATTCAAGGTCTTGGGGCCCTATATTTTTCACAGAGTAGCATTGTCATCCCAAGAAGTACTTCTTCACCCAAAGAGTAATTAACCACGTGGAGTTCACCGCCACAGGAAGCGGTGGTGGCTACAAGCATAGACAGCTCCAAGAGGGGACTGGATGAACATATGGAGCAGAGGTCTGTCAGCGGCTATTAGCCATAATGTATGGGGCGGTGATGCTCTGTATTCTTGGTGCTTGGGGGGCAACAGTGGGAGGGCTTCTGGAGTTCTGGCCCCGCTGGTGGACCTCCTGATGGCACCTGGGACCTGGGTCTTGGCCACTGGGTGACACAGAGCATTGGACTAGATGGGCCACTGGCCTGATCCAACATGGCTTCTCTTATGGCTCTGCTGGTGGACCTCCTGATGGCACCTGGATTTTGGCCACTGTGTGACACAGAGCATAGGACTGGATGGGCCACTGGCCTGATCCAACATGGCTTCTCTTATGTTCTTATGGCCCTGCTGGTGGACCTCCTGATGGCCACTGTGTGACACAGAGTGTTGGACTGGATGGGCCACTGGCCTGATCCAACATGGCTTCTCTTATGTTCTTATGGCCCTGCTGGTGGACCTCCTGATGGCCACTGTGTGACACGGAGTGTTGGACTGGATGGGTCATTGGCCTGATCCAGCATGGCTTCTCTTACGTTCTTATGGCCCTACTGGTGGACCTCCTGATGACCACTGTGTGACACGGAGTGTTGGACTGGATGGGCCACTGGTCTGATCCAACATGGCTTCTCTTATGTTCTTATGGCCCTGCTGGTGGACCTCCTGATGGCCACTGTGTTACACGGAGTGTTGGACTGGATGGGCCATTGGCCTGATCCGGCATGGCTTCTCTTACGTTCTTATTCTACCACCTTGGTACCATCTCATTCTGCGGCATGATGGAGACCAAACTTCAGTCTCCAGCTGTCCGTTCTATAGCGTATAGTGGTAACCTGCTGTTGTTCCAGTATGACCATGTATGAACGACGCCTGACCCCCCTATGCCTGGCAGAGAGCCATTTTTAACATTAACAGCCTTGATAGTGGATTGGAGCCTCCATGTTCAGAAGAAGTGTACCTCTGACTACCGGAATTGGGCAGTAAACATAGGGAAGGCTATCCCCACCACACCCTTCTTGTAAACTTCCCAGAGGCTTCTCTCTGGCTGTGGTTGGAGAGGAAATGCCAAGCCGGGTGCCTCTTCAGCCCGATGCAGTAAGGCAGAGGTGTCAGACTCTTTTGTTACAAGGGCCAGTTTGTTGGGCTGGGCCATGTGTGCCGTAAAAATGTAATGCCAGGTACCAGAGATATAAACTTTATGAAGGTCACAGGCAAACCCTATCCACAATATAGTTACAGTTTAATTTATTGCAATTAGCCATTGGCCGTTACAAAATTCCGAAACACAAATTGTGAACAAGCTGTGGGTTAAAAGTCAGAATAGACAAAAATACCAGAGATCGGTAACAAAATATGACTCATTTAATACAGTAGCCTAAATAAGGCCCCTTCCCGATGCCGCCTTGGAACGTATATTCTTTGCCACAAGGGCAAATAATGAAACTTTATGAGAGTCATAGGCATCAACGTCAGATAACAAACATGAATTTTTTTCCCTCAATTGGGTAAGCACTAAGACCAGATAAAACACCTGCTAAAAATTTAGCCCCCAGTCTAGAATACAGTGGGCAAAAGAGAATGTAGTGAGGTAAATCCTCAAGTTTGTGGGAACCACAAATACATAGATGATGGGCCAGTGGAGTTTGATTGAATCGGCCCTCCAAAATTGCTGTTGTCATTGATTGAAACTGTAGAGAGGTAAAGGACGCTCTAAGTACAAACAAAAGCAATTAATTCCTAGCATTGAAAGCAATTGATTTACTGGGAAACCCACAAAAGCCCCAATAAATGTCTTTAATCCCATGCAAGACTAGAGGGTTTTTTCCCCCCAAGGGACACCATAAAAGGAGGAGTATCTTACATTTCCATACATACTAGTTGCTTGCGGGCCAGGTAAGAGCCCTGGACGGGCCTCTTCCGGCCGCCGGGGCTTATGTTTGACACCCCTGCGATAAGGCACTGAAAGAGTTCTTACGCAGAAGTGAGAAGGTCTGATCGAGTTTGCCATTGCCGTCTTGACGGGGAGACCCGAATGTGTAAGACCTTTACAGACTTCTATTACCAAACTCCGTTCCTCTCGTGTGTGTTTTTTTTGCAGTACGGCGGAGGAGAAAGATTGCTGTGGTGCAGCCAGAGCAGCAGTAAGTAGGCACTTAAAATGTAAATAACAAAGCCGCTTTAATATGTAAATAAATAAGATTTGCTCCCCGGGATGGAAGTACAGCAGCTAAACTGAATAACTTGGTGTTCGGCAGCATATAATTTAGTACGTGCACGGATACCTCCTTAAAATGATGTGTGTGCGTGGCTGGAATGCACATCGTCTGACTCCAAGGGGCACCATGTTTGCCTCTAGATTTAAGGGACTGTCTCAAAATGTTAGACTCTCTCAAGTCGGGAATGGGGAAATCAGAATTCTTTCCCACCGTCCCTCAGCAGGTCAGTTTAAGATTACAAGGGATCCTCTGGGCGCAGTCCCAAGAGAGGGGTTAACGATCTCTGAAATGCTGATTTGCAAAAATCTGCGCACCTACTCGATATTTAAATCTAAAGTCACAGATGGAAAAGATGCGGGCAATACCCAAATCATCCGCGCTAACTGAGATTGTCCGGCAAAAGTGAAGTAAAAATAGAGAGCCAGTTTGGTGTAGCGGTTAGGAGCGTGGACTCTAATCTGGGAGAACCGGGTTTGATTCCCCACTCCTCCACATGCAGCTGCTGGTGAGACCTTGGGTCAGTTACAATTTCTTTCAGAGCTGTTCTCTCAGGAGCAGTCTTTGAAAGAGCTCTCTCAGCCCCACCTACCTCACAGGCTGTCTGTTGTGGGGAGGGGAAGGGAAAGGAGATTGTAAGATGCTCTGAGACTCCTTTGGATAGTGAAGGGCGGGGTATGAATCCAATCTCCTCCTCCACTTTGGGGTCAGGAAGTAGTTTTTCTACAGGCCAGTTTAGCCAGGGATCCTGGAGGTTTTTTGTCATCTTCCGGGCTTGGAACAGCGGTTGCTGTGGGTGTGGAGGGGGAGGTATTTTTGAATTTCCTGCATTGTGCCAGGGGGTTGGACGAGATGACCCTGGAGGTCCTTTCCAACTCTAGGATCCTATGATGATTCCTCCTCCTCCTCCTCCTCCTCTTCTTCTGCCAATTTAAAAACAGAAAAAAACTGGAAACCATTTTATCATTTCTGATCCCTAGATCTGAGTGTGGGCTCATATAACTGCAATATTTTTGCAAATTCTGTAATTCATTATGTCGTTATGCTAAGTAACATAAGTAGTTGCTATGCAGGGTCATGATGGTATTGAAAATATGAACATATATGATGATATTGACAATATGATATTGACAATATGAACATCTATGAAGCTGCCTGATAACTGAATCAGACCATTGGTCCCGCAAGATCAGTATTGCCTGCTCAGGCTGGTAGTAGCTCTTCGTAGTCCCAGGCAGAGGTCTTTCACATCACCCACTCCCTGGTCATTTTAACTGGAGATGCTGGGGATTGAACCTGGGACCTGCTGCATGCCAAGCAGACACTCTTCCATTGAGCCACAGCCCCACTTCATGGCTCTCCAGGGCCTCATGCTGAGGTCTTTCCCATCACCTGCTGCCTGGTCCTTCCAACTGGAGATGCCG